AATCATAGCTAAACTAACCCTTTTCCAGGCCAGTGCCAGCAAGTACCTCCTACCATTAAACCTCTCACTGGTTCACTGGCTATACACAAGCCCCACGCTCTCTGAAAGTGAAAGGTAATGTTTATCATAATACTATAATTCACTTATGTCTGTACTCTGTTAATCTGTTTTCTTGTGTGTCTAGTTTTATGCTTGTCAAAGGAGCTCAAGGTTTGTTCCATTCTTTCTCCAAAGTCTTCCCCTAACTCGACTCCACTCCATCAAACTCTATTAGTAAAGAAATCACTACAGTTAGTCTTTAGTCATTGTGTTCCCTAATGCTGTGTGTTTATTGTAATGGCTTTCAACAAGAGAGTGTATTATTCTTTTATTGCCAATGGCTGTTTTTTATTTTAGCATAACCAATTAAGAGACTATATATACATTATGTGCTCAAGAATATTTTGATAATTCACATCTTTAGTGCAAATAGCCTAAAAATTCCTTGACTTCATTGATTCACCACTACATATCCTCTATCTTCTCTCTCTCTCTCTCTCTCTCTCTGTGTATATGTAATGTCTGGCATTTAAAATTTGTAATAGAATCATCTTGTAATTCACTATATTATTGTAACCTTCATTGTATTGTAATTTCCGTTTGTGAGTGTGACATATATGTACATATAATGTACATGATTGATGTGGAATATAATGCTATGTTTGGTGAACTTTTTATAGTATTAGTCATTGTGTTCCTGTGGGTGATCATCCATTACCTGTATCATGTATTTATGCATTATTTCTTGTTTGCTTTTGGATCAGTACATGATCCAATGTTGAACTACATGAAATGTACATCTTGTGTTGAGTTGTGAATGTAGGAGGATCAAGAGGGTGTACCTGTACATGTTTACTATGTGATGGTCTATGGGCATTAATTATGTACCAGGTATTGGAGGAGGAAGAAGTCTTTTCTTGCATTCTATTACATAGGTCTAGCTCATATTAGTCATAATTGGATTTGTATAAATACTTATAATTTAATGAAAATTACTTTAATAATTTATTCTGATGTCTGTGTTATGATACTCTATTGATTTTATTATTAAATTTTGTGCTATAAGGATTTTTTTGATGTGCCAATTTTTGAAAAATTCCATGGGCTAGCCTGTAGATTTTTCTGGAAAAATTGACTCCAAAATCACCCCCAATTTTTATTACATTTTCTGATGCATATTGATGTACTTATGCTGTGTAGAAAGTTTGAGCTGATTCCGACTTTAATTTTTAAAGTCATGGCCATTTTTAAAAATGTGCCAAAATCTGAAAAACACCCTGTTACCCATGGTTTTTTCCAAAAAATGGCTAAAAAATCACCCCCAATTTTTATTACATTTTCTGATGCATATTGATGTACTTATGCTGTGTAGAAAGTTTGAGCTGATTCCGACTTTAATTTTTAAAGTCATGGCCATTTTTTAAAATGTGCCAAAATCTGAAAAACACCCTGTACTATAGCCCATGGTTTTTTCCGAAAAATGGCTAAAAAATTACCCCCAATTTTTATTACATTTTCTAATACATATTGATGTCCTTATGCTTATGAAGAAAGTTTAAGCCGATTCCGACATAATTTTTTCAAGTTATAAGCATTTTTGCCAATTTCTGAAAAATAACCAATTATACTCTCATGATATATGATATCACTGCAGCCTTATTTCCTAGTATGTACTATACAAATCTACAATGTAGTATAGTATTATGATAGTACAATAGTCTCATTGTATCTTGTGTAGCATTGAGGGTATTGTGTTGCCAAGAGTCTTCATCAATAAAGCCAGTTTTCCTGGGTGTACTTGTATGATGGTTATTGTAATGTGTTGTCATGTCAGACCAGTGAGGCCACTACATGTAGACTTTGTAGTATTATTACTGCACATTATACAAGCAATAAATTATCTAATATTGTACTACAGTATGTGGGTGTATCAAAGGCACCACCAAGAGTTTATATAG